ACTGGGAAGACCCAGAGGGATCGGGTGGAGAGGGAGGTGGGAGGGGGGACCGGGATGGGGAATACATGTAAATCCATGGCTAATTCATTTCAATGTATAACAAAAACTACTGTAATGATGTAAAGTAATTAGCCTCCAACTAATAAAAATAAATGGAAAAAAAAAAAACAATTCATCCTGAAAAAAAATAAATAAATAAAAAATTAAAAAAATAGCAATGGTGTTAGACACTGGCAGAATTCATCTAAATTTCACAAATAATCTACATTGTAGACGTACTGTTCTTTCAATGAAAGCTGTTTTCCTAAGAAAAAAACAAAAACCCTTTGAAAATAAATTCCTGAAAGTATTTTCCAACAACTTGTATTATAATTTCAAAGAATAACAGAATAACAGAAATGCCCCAAATAAACACTTTATTAATAAAATCAAAACTCTTAGCAAACAACAGGAGAACTCACGCTGCAGAATGGCATATACCCTGGTTACCATAACTCGGGTATGCAAACAAGAGCAACACACAAGACCCTGGGCAACTCACACCCCTTACATGTTTCCTCATCTAGCAGATAATAAATAAATGAATAAACAATAAAACAGATGGTCTCTCCTGCTAAACAAAAAGTTCAGGTATTTTTTAATGCCTAGGAAGTAGATAAGACACCCAGTCCTTTAGAACTGGGTGAACATGGAAGAACATCCAGTATAATCACTGACAAACTTGATGCAAACCCTCCTAAGACTTCCTAGGTTAACAAATGAAGAAATCTTATTCCTCTATATAATACATACCTCTGTTGGATTTTTTTAATTAATTTTATTTTTTGCTGCACCTCACAGCATCTTACTTCCCTGATCAGAGATCTAACCTGGGCCCCTGGCAGTGAAAGCGCTGAGTCCTCACCAAGTTAGGCTTCCCAGACTTTTTATAAAACCTCACACTTATTCAACACACATATACATGAGATTATTTGAGGCCTGATCTGTACTATAGGAAATTTATAGTGGTTTTTCCACAAGTAGAAAGTTAGTACACATTTATACATTAAAATAAAACTCCACTTAAACATACTTTTAGGTAAAATCAATCCCCTAATATCTAACAACTGCACAAAATGAAAGCTAGATATGGCAGAATAGAAGAATCAATAAGACAGAGAAATCTGTGCAAATATACAGATGCAATGAAATTATATACAGACCTTTTTTCAGCCGGGATTTTTGAGATTCAGCAGACGCAGGAACCTGAGTTCTCTGAAATGAAGAAGCCTATGTTAAAGCACCAACATAAATCTTGCTAGCTTAAAGAAGCATTCAAATAAAAATCATCATCAGCTCTCCAATCATGCAAGTAATCCGTTAACTGCATAAAAGTACAAAGAATTATTTTGAATGTGGTTTAAAAACCAAATGTCAAGTTGTACTTTTGCTGTCCCAACTATTAATAATGCATAATGCATATTTATTATATATACTTACAATGTGCATTTATTATATGGAACTGTAATGTATGATATAAAGTATATAAATAAATGTGCTAAGTTTGTAGACATATTAGTATTATAAAACATATTAGTATTATACTTAATGCTATACTGCTTAGCACCCAAACCAAAAAAGTGACAATTTTGATAAGAGGAAGCTTATAAGGTCATCTACACAGAGATGATCTAGCACTCAATTCTAGGATGGAGTATTTTTAAAGAGTCATTATTTAATATCATAGGCACACTATTCTATACTATAACTTGGCAGAAAATCTTCAAATGATTTTTTTTTTTTTAATCTGCCTCCCATGTTGTGTATAAGAAGCTTCCCAGGTGGCACTAGTGGTAAAGAATGTGCCTGCCAATGCAGGGTATAAGTAAGAGATGCAGGCTCAATCTGGGTCAGGAAGAATCCCTGGAGGAGGGCATGGCCACCCACTCCAGTATTCTTGTCTGGAGAATCCCATGGACAGAGGAGCCTGGCAGGCTGCAGTCCAGAGGGTCACACAGAGTCCGACATGACTGAAACGACTTAGCATGCATGTATGTTGTATATAAGCAAAAATAATGGCTGAAAATTTCCAGAGGTAATGAGACAAACTAATCTTTAGATTCTGGATGCTCAACCAATTCTAACCAAGTTAAATTAAAATAAATCCACACTTAGATACATCATAGGACCTCGGCAGTGACAATAAGTTCTTAAAACCAGCCAAAGGAAAAAATGTATCACCAGATTATCTGCAACAAAACGACAATTAGACTGACAGCTGACTTCTCAACAATTAAAAACAGAAGATAATATCATTGACATTCTAAGAATAATTAGAATAACTAGGTACTAATGTACCTTACCCAAGAGTAAAATACTAAGTAAAGTGAATATTAACCTAGACATGAGATCAGCAAACTTGCTAGCTTAAAGAAGCATTCAAATAAAAATCATCATCAGCTCTCCAATCATGCAAGTAATCCGTTAACTGCATAAAAGTACAAAGAATTATTTTGAATGTGGTTTAAAAACCAAATGTCAAGTTGTACTTTTGCTGTCCCAACTATTAATAATGCATAATGCATATTTATTATATATACTTACAATGTGCATTTATTATATGGAACTGTAATGTATGATATAAAGTATATAAATAAATGTGCTAAGTTTGTAGACATATTAGTATTATAAAACATATTAGTATTATACTTAATGCTATACTGCTTAGCACCCAAACCAAAAAAGTGACAATTTTGATAAGAGGAAGCTTATAAGGTCATCTACACAGAGATGATCTAGCACTCAATTCTAGGATGGAGTATTTTTAAAGAGTCATTATTTAATATCATAGGCACACTATTCTATACTATAACTTGGCAGAAAATCTTCAAATGATTTTTTTTTTTTTAATCTGCCTCCCATGTTGTGTATAAGAAGCTTCCCAGGTGGCACTAGTGGTAAAGAATGTGCCTGCCAATGCAGGGTATAAGTAAGAGATGCAGGCTCAATCTGGGTCAGGAAGAATCCCTGGAGGAGGGCATGGCCACCCACTCCAGTATTCTTGTCTGGAGAATCCCATGGACAGAGGAGCCTGGCAGGCTGCAGTCCAGAGGGTCACACAGAGTCCGACATGACTGAAACGACTTAGCATGCATGTATGTTGTATATAAGCAAAAATAATGGCTGAAAATTTCCAGAGGTAATGAGACAAACTAATCTTTAGATTCTGGATGCTCAACCAATTCTAACCAAGCTAAATTAAAATAAATCCACACTTAGATACATCATAGGACCTCGGCAGTGACAATAAGTTCTTAAAACCAGCCAAAGGAAAAAATGTATCACCAGATTATCTGCAACAAAACGACAATTAGACTGACAGCTGACTTCTCAACAATTAAAAACAGAAGATAATATCATTGACATTCTAAGAATAATTAGAATAACTAGGTACTAATGTACCTTACCCAAGAGTAAAATACTAAGTAAAGTGAATATTAACCTAGACATGAGATCAGCAAACTATGGTTCACAGGTCAAATCCAGCCTATGCTCTGTGGCCTGCAAGCTAAGAATGACTTATACATTTTACATATTAAAAATTTTTTTAATATTTGAGAACACATGAAAATTATATAAAAATCAAACTTCAGTGTCTAGAACAAAAATGTTATCAGAACAGTTACACTCACATGTTTACATATTGCCTATGGATGATCTCCACTATATGTGCATAACTGACTGACTTGTGACAGAGAATATATGGCCCATGAAGCTCAGAATATTTACAACTGTCCCCTTATACAGTTTGTCAATTCCCAATCTGAACTCTTACACCAATCAAAACTAACATTCAAGAACAACGGCAAAATTTAAAAGTCTTTCAGAAAAATGTGAGTTTTTAGAATTCCTAAATAAGTTCTAACGAACATACATTAGGAAAAAGGAAAATAATCTCAGAGGCAAGGAGTAGAACAACTAAAGGAACTAGTAAAATATGGAAGTATAAGCATCTACTTACTGAATAAAACAAAAAGTATAATTTGTGGGGCTGAATTGAGAAATACAAGAACTAAAAAACTGAACAATGGCATAACTGGCAGAAAGCAACGGGTAATAAAACATTTGATGATCCCTGTATTATTCAGGTTTAAGTATGAACTTTCAGTTAAATACATATTATTTTAAAAATCTGAGTACTCTCTTAAGGAAGATGAAAGTCAGAATAGAAGGAGAAAAAAATGAAATTCTCTAGCTAAAAGACAGATTGCCAGAATGCTTTTTTTTAAAATCTAGATATATGCTATCTGTATAAAGAAACATCTAAAATAAAAGGGCAAAGGAAAACAAAGTAAAAGGGAGAACAGAGACACCAGGAATACAGAAGCAAAAAGGAAAAGTAGCAATATTAACATTTAGACAAAGCAGACTTCAAGAAAAAAGCTTCACTGGGAAAACGAAAACAAATTAAAATAGATTGAAAACTAATAATGGAAAGGGCAAATTTTAAAGCCTTTAAAAAATACATAGGGTAGGGAAGTTTTCAACAAGATATAAAAGCACAAACCAATTAAGAAAAGACAGAAACATTCAACTACATTGCAATTAATAACTTCTGGGGACTTCTCTGGTAGTCCAGTGGTTAGGACTTGGCGCTTTCAGTGCTGTGGCCTCGGGTTCAACCCCTGTCAGGGAACTAAATAAGACCTCTTGAGCTGCGCAGCACAGCCAAAAAATAACTTCTGTTCCAAAAAGGAAGTGAAGACTGAAGACTGAGGGAAGATATATACAATACGAAACAAAGCCAAAAAAGACAACAGCCAGTAACTGTAAGTATTACAAGTCAGTAAGAAAAGCAAATATTGAGGTAGAAAATTAAATAAAACACAATAACTAGGCATTGCAGAGAAAAGGAAACGGAGACAACCAACAATACTAATTAATAATCAGGGAAATGTAAATTACTATCATTTAAGATTTCATATCCACCATGTTGACAAAATTTAAAGCTCTAACAATAACAAGGATGTGAGCAATGGGAACTGATGGTAGAAGCATAAATAGCTACAATCATCTCAAAATTTCCCATAAGCTATAAAGTTAAAGATGTATGTAGCCCATAAACCAGCAATCAATCCATTTCGAGGAATACCCTGGGGGAAACTCTTAGATCAGGATACAGATATAAAAGTGTTCATAGCCAGGTCTGAGATACTACTAAATTCTGCACCCTTAGTACTTCAGTTGCCTTACTCTAGTCCTGGCCCTGTTCACAGCAGCATTCTTTTTTTTTTTTAATTAAAAACCAGAAGGGAAAAAAAAACAAACACTGAACTCACGGAAACAGAAACTAAAAAAGTGCTTGCCAGGTGTTATAGGATGAATATGGTCTAAGGATCTAACGTATAACATGGTGACTATATTCAATAACACTGTACTGAATAACTGAAATTGGCCAAGAGAATAGAATTTAACTGTCCTCATATACAAAACAGGTGATGGGTGTGTTAATTAACTCAGTTATGGGAATCCTTTCACTGTGTGTGTGTGTGTATGTGTGTGTGTGTGTGTATAATCATCACGTTGTATATTATAAATATGTAACAATTTTATTTGTCAATTATACTGCAATAAAACTGGAAAAAAATCAGAAATAACTCAAATCTCTATCTAACAGAATGGACAAATGGTAGCATTTCCCTATAATAAGATATCTCATAGCTGTAAAAAATGAAAAAACATTAATTTTTTTAAAAAATCAATATATTGTTTAAGGATATTAAGTATGATAAAAGCTATAATGAAAACCAAAGAATAATTAATGTAAAATTAAGGAACGAGATCATTTCTGATTAGAAAAAGAGGAAAATGCAGTAAGGAAGAGACATTTAGGTAAGTTTGTTTTTAATGACTCATTTCTTAACACGTGAAGTATGAGTACAAGTTTCCATTATAGAGGTGACAAACAACAAGGGTTTGAATTCTCAGGGTCCACTTATATACAGATTTTTTCAATAGTAACAATATTAAATTTAATATTTAAATTTGTGTATAATTTATATATTAAATACTTAATATTTTTATATATTGAATATTTATAGTAGAAATATTAAGTATATTTCAGTAGTAAAAATATAAATATATCCCAAGACTGGTTAAGTCCACAGATGCAAGGGAGCTAGGGATAGACAGAGCCACTGTAAATTAGATTTTCAACTGTGCAGAGAATAAGTGCCCCTAATCCCCATGGTGTTCAAAGATCAACAAGACTGCTCTTTAAAACTTTTAATAACCTTTTATTCTTTTATAACAACCAAAAAAAAACCACCTCAAAATAAAAAAGAATTTATAATTTGTTCTTTTAGCTGTTTTATCATCTTGATAGAACAAACAGAAATCTTAATAAAAGAAACAATTCATTTTTAAATGGGCAAAAGACTTGTAGAGATACTTTAAAAAGACATGGATGAACAAGCACATAAAAAAGTATTCAATACCATTATTCATTAGGGAAATACAAATTAAATCACAATAACCACTACTACATATCCACTAGATGAGCTAAATTCAAAAAGGCTGACAATACCAAGTGTTAACCAAGGATGTGAAAAAACTGAATTCCTCATACACTGCTCACAGAAATGTTAAATGGTATAGTTTAGCCACTTAAGGAAACAGTTTTAGGTTTTGTTTCTTTTTAAAGCATAAACTTACCATATAACATAGCAATTACTCTCCTAGAGAAATGAAAACACAGGCATGCAAAGACTTGTATGCCAATAATCATCGTGACATTATTCAAATAGCCAAAAACAGGAAACAATCTAAATATCCATCAATTCTGCTTAGAAATAAAAAGTTAACAAACTTTTACTGTTACATACAATATGAATGAACCTCAAACTACATGCTAAGTAATTCCACTACATGAAATTGTAGAAAAAGCAAAACTGTGCAGTCAGAAAGCAGATTAGACATGTGCTGGCATTAGGAGTATACCTGTAGTTAGGTCTTGAGGGAACTTTCGGGAGTGATGGACATAAGTGAATGGTAGTGGCAGTTGTGCAACTATATAAATTTACTAAAACTGATCAAATTGTACACTTAAAATAGGTAAATTTTATGGTATGTGTATTATACCTCAACAAAGCTGGCTAAAGAACCCCATATTTTTTTAATCTACCTGGGACTTTTTTAACTTTGGGGAACATATTAATTAAAGAGATTTAAATGATCAGAAAGCACTTTCATTAGTCAGCAGTGCTTCTTTCTGCACAAAGTAGAATTAAAATAAATTACAATTTTTTGATGAGTCTCTGTCTCAAAAGATCTTCCAGGACATTCTGCAATACAAAGGATTCTCTTAGCCCACTCAATCTCATTCATAACTGGGAGATATATATAGTAAGTTCCTTACTTTTTTTCGGTTCTTTCTTCAAGTAGTTCTATGATCATTTATTCATCTAATATTCATGTTAAATGATATATGCTATAATTTGATATATGCTAGGCACTATATTTAAGCAAGTAGTAGCAAGTAGTAATTCTTGCTTTCTGTTCTGAAAGGTTTAATCTTCTAATTTACAGGAAGAATGATGGGTATTTACAGAAATACACCCAAAAAAACCCACCAGGAATTAGGGAGTTATAAAAATGTTTTTAAGTATAAAGCAAGGACACCAGAGTTATTCACTTGTTTCGTCAAGCTCTCTAAACTATTTATTATATATTCTTAAATAAGGCAGAAATATCAGTCCCCAATTCTCCTAAGGAACAAGTGATAATCCTCAGTAGTTTCGGTAGCATATTAGAATTTCTGTGTGTTCCACACTGGACTAGTTATACTTCATTTTGCTGGGATGTCTCTCAGCCTCAAGGTCTTTGCTGCAGAATTCTTAGATTTTTCCTTACAAATGTGTTCAAAATTCTGAATTTTAAGTCTTTTCGTCTTCTCTCCTCCTCTATAAATGTGTATCTACAGATGTACATGTTTTTTCTTTGCATCACAAAATTAACATCACACAATATATCCCTGTTAACAACAGGCACAACATGGAGTCATGTTTGCTTGCTAAGCCCCAAGTCACCAAATCAAAACTTAGTTTTAGCTCTCCCAGAAATGGAATCTTAAACCAATCAGGAGTCCTCTGATCAGCACTAGTTATATATTATAACTGACAGACCTCTGCCATCCCCTGAAGGAAAGTCACCTTGCCATAACCAACATTCTTTTTGTCTATAACTTCCTTGTTCCTGCTCACTTTTGCCTATGAAAGTATTTTATTTCGTACAGCTACTCAGAGCTCCTTTCTGTCTCCTAGACTGGATGCCATATCACTGAATAAAGCCAATACAATCTTGAAAATTTACTCTGAATTTTCTTTAACACCCCACTCCACAACTAGCTTTTACTTAAATGTACACCACAGAAATCCCTTCACATCAACATATATAATTTGGACATTCTTTTTAATGGCTGCATAATATTCCTCAGTATGGGAATATCAGAAGCCATCCATTACCCTACTAATGGGAATTCACTGTTTCCAGCTTTTTGTCACTATAAACAGTATTGCAAGGAACACCAGTGGACCAGGTGCTTATGGTGTGCTTTTATTTCAGTATGATGCAGATGGAGAGGCATGGCTAGGTCCTTTTAATACACTATTACAAGATGCCATATAACTTCCAAAGAGGATAGAAATTCAAATTTCCATTCAGCCCTAACCTGAAAAACGAGTTATTATAAATGTAACACTACTAGCAATAAATTTGATAATAATGAAAATTATTAACTTGCAGCCAAAGTGCTAAATCATATCAAAATAAACCATTTTTTTTAATACACTACCAGGGATTCAAAAGTACAGGACAATTCTGCCATCATACTCATATTCTGCTCATGAATACCTATCTACACCTGCAATAAGCACGGAAGAATAAGCTATATTTGCAACAATGTCATGTTAACCTTTATACCTTACACTTAAGATTATGGAGCTTAAGTATCATGTTTTCAATGTCTAAATTCTAAGAACATTAATAACGCTTTTAATTTTTTTTTTAATTCGTAGCTTAACAAATTCCTTTGGGCCTCATAGTCTGTACACAGAGTTTTCTCATTATACTAAAATAATTTGATTTCTCTGAAGACAGACTAGAAAACAAACAGACCCCCGACAGGTATTACTGGCCGTGCTCCTCAGCAGCCAAAACTAAGGTATAAAACAGTCTGTCAAAGACTGCTATTTTGCCTCCTACATTTTTTTAAAGGGCAATAAATTCCGAGTGGGGTCGCAAAAGAGTCGGACACGACTTAGCCACTAAAACAACAACAACAAATAAGTCATTTTAACAAACCCGCAGAACATCCTTGGAAATTCAACATTAAAACAAGGGAAACACAGTCTCACACTTGGAACTCTATAGAAATTAGAACCAATTGTGAATTTACGCCTCCAAAAGAACTACTACTGGGTCATCCTGAATTCAACTGAGTTACTCTGTATTAGCAGTTCTGTGGAATTCAATCAACGCTTAACTCAGACCAGTTGAATTCCTATATTTGCTAAAACACGGTCCCGACCCACACGCAGAAGAAAGCTTTCAGGATTTGTCTCACTGCCTAATCTAGAGATTAACAGAAATTGTCTCTGCACAGGTGACAGTGTTTCCTTTCCTAACCTCATAAGACAGAAAGCATGGGGCGAGTAAAAAAGCCTTTTCTAATGAAAACCTCCCTTCTCTGTCCGGAGCACCCCAAGAGCAACCCCAGTCCTAGCACAGGCCCAGAGCTGGAAAGATCTCAGCCGGGACCCGGGCCGAGCAGTTCCCCAGAACCCGACCGCGTCAAACGGCCCGACCCGAGGAGTTCCAGTCCCAGCCCCGCATTTCCCCAGCGGCCGCTACATGGGACACAGGCCACCCGCCTACCCGCCTCTCCGCTCCGCTCCGCCCGGCCCGACCCTGCCCAACCCCAACCCCGGCCAGAAGCCCACACACCAAACAGAATCTCGAAGCTCACCACAGACAGTTTCTCTTCAGCCATCTTAGCTCCGCCCACCGCTGCGAGGCCGGAAGTTGCTGGTTTCCCAGACAACCAGGCAAACGGAAATCGTAGGACTGGGGAAGAGGGGAGGGGCCTGAATAGGGAAAGAAGTAGATCGCCGAGCGGAAGGGTTTGCCTGGGAGGTTGAGGATCTTCTAGAATGTGGGAACTGATCGAGCGCTTTCGTGCGGTCCACTTGGCTCTAAAGGAGCCGGTGAGGGAATGCGCAGCCAGTCGTCGCCTTCGTCCCTGCCAGCCCCTATCGCCTCACGCCCTTGTGTGGACGTTCCTTGAGAAACCCCCCGACAGCGCTGGGTGCAGCCACTCCTGGCCCTGCTCAGCTTTGACGCCACCCAGCGTTTATTTCAAGCCTTCTTCTGGGAGTCCCGGCTCCCAAGCCCAGACCCTACGGCTGAGAACCTCATTTTCGCCTTACATAAAAATTCGTAGTTTTCTTGACTGTCTTTATCCAGCTAAGATATTACCCGCCTCACCAGCCTCCCACTTCTGTTTACGCTAGAGGTTGCAAATCCTGCCGGTGGGCTGTATTTAAATGCAGTCTTGTACTGATCGGAAACTTAAAAATTAGGAGATTTCTTAAGCCAGAAATCTGGCCTCAGAGTAAATAAAGATCCGACAATAGGTGTGCAGTCCTGCTTGATGGTAAAACAGATCTGAAAATTGGCTGCTACTGTAGGTAGCATTTGTTTACCATTCTGCCACAGTCCTGGCTTCCCAGCACACTTGGACCGTTTTACCTTTCTAGCCCCTGGTGTGGTGAATTAAATGCTTCGTCTTTCCACGGAGCGATTGTGAAAATACGTGGGCTGTGGAGTCAAACATGAGTTCTAAATTTAACTACTGCTTAACATGAGCCAGTCATTTCTTTGAGCTTCATTCATTCCAGTACCAAGAGCTATGCGATGAGCAAAATACAGGGGATCTCTGACCTTAGAGCACTATTATCCAACCTTTTTGGCACCAGGGATCTGTTTCATGGAAGACAGTTTTTCCCACACAACCAGTGTAGGGGGGATGGTTTGGGGATGATTCAAGAGCATTACATTTATTGTGTACTTCATTTCAATTATTACATCAGCTGTACTGTAGATTATCAGACATTAGATCCCAGAGGTTGGGGACCCCTGCTTTAGAGTGTAGTGAGGAAGTCACACATTAAATAATAACATAAGCAAAGTTTATGAAGAAACAGTTCACTAAAGAAGAAATACAAATGCGTCTTAAACATATGAAAATATAACTTTGCGAGGAAGAGAAAACATGCAAATTAAAGGTTCCATGAGATATTTTCTACCTCTTACATTGGCAGAGAACAAAATTTTCACTGAGTTATGAGTAAACATGCATTCTTCCTCTACGGCTAGAGAGAATGTGAATTGTTACAGCCTCCATTGACAGCAGTTTGGGAATTACTTCCCAAATTAAAAATGCACATAACCTTTAATTTCTTTATTTTAATTCTAGGAATATATACTATAGGTATAAATGTGGGAAATGGCCTTAAATACAAATTTATTCAATGCAGCATTGTTTGTAATAACCAAAGCATGAAAACAAAACAAATGCCTAAAAATTGAGGTTAAAGAAATTATGATGTGCCCATACCATATGGTACATGAAAAATAAACTATTTACATAGTGATATAAAAGATTGCCACAATATATTAGTAACAGATAAAAACAAAGTGTGGAAAAATGTACATAAGATCTGTGTTAATAGAAGAGAAGGCAAAAATAAAGAGGAATATTATGTACATCATTGCTTATATACTCAAAATATCTCTGAAAGGATATTCAAAATGCTAAAACTAAGTATTTGTAAGGAGGAGAAATTGGTAGCAGAGAGACAGGGAAGGGAAGAGACTTTATACCCTGTTATAATTTAAATTTTATATGAAATGGATATTCCAATAATAGAGAAAATTAAAGGAACAACATAAGGTACTTCCATCGTGGTCCAGGAGTTAAGACTGCGCTGCCAATGAAGGGGACACAGGTTTGATGCCTGGTTGAGGAACTGAGATCCCATGTGTTGTGTAGCAGTGCAGCGCAGCCAAAAGATAAAAAAATAATAATAATTAAAAAATAAATAAAACAGCAATGTAACTGTATAATTAGAATTGGGGTAAATGCTGAGGAGAAACAGTGAAAGCAAATAACAGGGAGATCCACTGTAGACTTGTTTAGACAGGGAAGTTTCCCCGGGTAAGATATGTTTAAAACGAAACCTAAAGGATAAGGCATTAACTTGGGGAAGAGGGATGAGGAAGTCGGTAGGCCGGGGAAGAATTCTAAGGCAAAGGAAAAGCTTGTGCAAAGGCCCTGAGGATGGAAGAAGCTTGGCCAGTTCGTAGCACAGGAAGATCAGCACAGATGAAAAGAGGAAGGGGGAGGAGTTGGTTCCAATTGGTGGAGAGGTAGGAAAGACCTAATTTCATGGCTGAGGTCACCTCCGCAGTGATTTTGGAGCCCAAGAAAAAATCTGTCACTGCTTCCACTTTTTCCCCTTCTATCTGCCATGAAGAAATGGGACTGGATGCCATGATCTTAGTTTTCTGAATGTTGATTTCAAGCCAGCTTTTTCACTCTCCTCCTTCACCCACATCAAGAGGCTTTTAAGATCCTCTTCACTTTCTGCCATTAGACTGGTATCATCTACATATCTGAGGTTGTTGATAGTTCTCCCAGCAACCATGATCCCAGCTTGTGATTCATCCAGCCTGGCATTTCACCTGATGTATTATGTATATATCTGCACTGAACTGAACTGAGATTATGCATATAAATTAAACAAGTAGGGTGACAATATACTTTGGCCACCTGATACAAAGAGCCAAGTCATTGGAAAAGACTCTGATGCTGAGAAAGATTGAAGGCAAAAGAAGAAGGGGTCAGCAGAGGATGAGATGGTTAGATAGCATCACCAACTCAATGGACATGAATTTAAGCAAACTCTGGGAAATAGTGGAGGACAGAGGAGTCTGCCATGCTGCAGTCCATGGGGTCACAAAGAGCTGGACACGCCTTAGTCACGACCTACTCAGCAACTGAACAACAACAGGAGAGACAAGTGGTGCAGATCCACAGAGGCCATGTGAGGGATTTCATTCTAAGGGCATTGGGAAGGCACTAGAGAGTTTTGAGCAATAAGTGATATAGTCAGAATTAATGTTTAATGAATTTATATTAGTTAATGAGTGGAGAATGAATTGAGAGGAAAACAAGAATTGATAATCTAGAGGTGACTAAAAGATACTGCAAAAGAATAAAACAGTTCACCTAGACTGGAGTGATGGGAAAAAGAAACGGAGAAAAGGTAAATGTATTCTGAAGAATTTTACAAGGTAAAACGAATTTCCTATGGTGTAGAATTGGATATGGGGGAATCAGGGAAAGGGATAGAGATGTCTCAGAAAGATGACTGCATTTCTAACTTTCAAAGCAATGGAGTGCACAGCACAGTCAGTTACTGACATGGGGAGCCTCAGGGAAGATGATGTTGGTGGAAATCCCATAAGCATACTTCCCAATATATAAAATCTCCCTGAAAGGGGCCCTGTGAGAAGTAAATAACTTTTTTGTGTGTCTTTGTTATTAAGTAAGGAGAAGTCATTAGCACATGTTTAAAAATCTCTCCTTTGACCCCAGAGATGAGTAAGAGCACTTTCTGTGCAAGGGCCTTTCTCTTGAGAAAGAATGTTGGTTTCTCAAATGTCAATAACTAAATCTAATGTGCTAATTAGATAATTAGAAAATTTCAAAATGTGTAACATTTTCCAGGGAAGATCCCAGAATCACATAGATAATACTTCTTATGTAACACCTAAGTCTTCATTTCCCTTAGAAAACCTCCTTGGATGTAATCTTGTTTACCAGGATCATTCAAGTCATCTAGATGGGTAAGGCATTCCAAACAAAATGGAATTTATCTTTTTTTTCCCCATGATAGAGTTGATGAGGCAAGAGAAGAATCAGGCATCAGTAATTTTTAACATTCCCAAAATACGTATAAAAGAGTTGCAGTTGAGTTTCTACATTTTAAATACTTCAATATGTCAGTCCCACTCTGGTTGGGTCTACAACCAACTTTGTTCTGACATTCCCTGCCAGGCAACTCTCCAGCCTCTCATACCTCTTTTGCGGTATTCAGTCTTCCCCAAACCCATACCACTAACTTCGGAGAGCCCAGCCAGCACGGGAAACACCTTGAAATAATCTGAAGCTCCAGGAGCTTCTTGAAGCATTTTAAACATGCCCATTCCTGGTATTTTCTAGTAAACATGCCCATTCCTGGTAGTCCAGTGGTTAGGACTCTGCACTTCCAACACAGGAGATACAGGTTTGATCTCTCTCTGGTTGGGGATCTGGCATGCAGTACAGAGTGGCAGGAAACAAACAAACAAACAAAAAAAGGCATACTATGCAGCTTGTAAAGAACTTTAAGATGGTGAAATAGTTAAATGGAAAAAAAAAAGCAAAATGTAGAAGATACAGTGTGGTTCTATTTGTGTTTAANGCGGGGGAAAGTCCCCGGAAGATCAGTGGTTTAAGACTCTCAGCGTCCACTGCAGGGGGCACAGGTTCTATCCCTAGTCAGGAAAGTGAGATTCCACATGCCATGTGGTGCAGCCAAAATTTAAAAAGGGGGAGGGATATGCATACTTTTTGAAAATATAATTTTGAGAAATTAGCACACAAAACTGGTAATGATGTTTGTCTCTGCAGAGGGTGTAGAGAGGACTATAATGGGAAAGTAATTCCCTTTTCATTGTTCACCATTCTGTAAAATTTAGCTTTTTATTATCTGTGTAGTTTTAATTTTAAAAACTATTTTAAAAATATGCAGATGAAACCATTTTTTAAAGCTCCCATTCCTGGATTTCACTCATTTGCATGTAGAAAACCACAAGGGTCATATCTCTCTCACCCTAGCAAACAAAGGCTAGATTAGCTTGAAAATCAAACATATTTTTAATTCATCAGAGAGCTGATGACATAAAGAAATTTAAGTGAACCAACCTCCAGAAAGCGCTAAGTTCTTCATTGGAGAGAGGAGATACATGGCTGCTTATATTCCTATGCTAGGAAGACAAATCCACCAAAGGGGAATAAAGAGAAGGCAGTTGAATTTAACAAAAGTGTAACAGTCCCGTTGAGGCTGGCATGACAACAGAATCTAGAGGACTCAAATTTACAGAGCGCTGCACCCACCTACCAATCTTACCTCTTGGATCTTAAAAA